AATAGCCTCTACAGATATAAAAGTAAATAATTGCTGTGAACACAGTCACTATTACCATTTTAAAATAATTACATACGTATAATCTTAAAACGGTAACAATATAATTAAGATATTTATTTAATTTATTTTTTTATATACTTTATATTAATTATACTTATCAAAATTTATAACTTTATGAATTATATATATAAAAATAATAAATTTAGAATATTATTTCTTTATGTTATTAATATAAAAAGCTTAATATTATATTCTTCTTTTACTTATTTCTAAAAATCAGAATAAGAAATATAATTCAATTATAATAGTTAATTATAACTTAGTTATAACTAATTATAATTTTATTATTAGTTGAAATATTAATATTAAAAAATTCAAATCATGATTTTTTCAAATTTTTTATATTTAAAATAAGTTATTTTACTTAATAATATGTTTATATTATTAATAGATCTTTGATTTTAAGCATCTTATTAATAATTAATGTTTGCAACTTGCTAATTTTTATCAATAGTAATAACTTTAAAATTATCAATTACTTTTATAATATTAAAGAAAACTTCTTATGATAATGTTTTATAATATTAAAGAAAGTTCTTATGATAATGATAATTAGAATATAGTTAGTAATTTGACTCTTGATCAGCTTATCAAGAAGTAAAAGCTCTAGATAAAATATCAAATTTATTTCAAGAACTAGCTAGAATTGTGCAAACTCACAGATACAATAAACAAGAAAATCTTTAATTAAAGCAAAAAATGATGTTCAATTATTTATTCAAAGAGATCTATTCATCTTTAAGTTGACTGAATCAGAAAAACACAAGAATAAATATGATTTTTGTCAGATTGATAATAAATAAATCTGAATTATAATTAATGTTGAGATAGTGTTAGTATCGATGTTTAAAGAAACGAAAAAATTTATAGTGTAGGCAATAGTATTGCAAATAGATTTCAATAAATACAAAATAGATTATATCCATATAATACAATTTAATTTCACCTATTACATCTTTATAGAGATCGTCAACGTGGTTAGAGGATCCAATTCAACTTTATTAATAGATAGATTCAAGATTCATAAGTATTGTATCAACAACAGCATAAATGCTAATCGAAATTAAATTTAATCGAATGTGATTCCATATCTATTTTCCCGCCGCGATAAGAACCTCGTTTTTTCTTTGTCTTTTGCGCGCGAAAATTTTTTCCACGCGCTACGCTGAAATCAATGTGTGCTTTGTGTCCATACGAACCGATTGCACCGTCCTATATTAACATGAAAAGATTAATATTAATTACTTGAAAAATTATTTCTAATATAATAAATATCTTGTAGAAATGTAAAACTTACTTTTGCCAGAAAACTATTATCCTTTAATCGCTCATCGAGAAATTCTACTTTTTCGGGATCAATTTTTCGATGATATGCGTTTTTTTGTCTTTGATTCAGATGATCGTGAGTAACTTTTGCATTACCATTAACAATTTGCATCTATTTTTATATAAATCGAAAAATATAGGTAATTTAAGTTGGTAATTTTTCTCGTTAAAATGAGTCTATTTGCAAACTTTACCTGTTGATTATTCATATTAATACCGTTAGAATTTGATGATGAAAATGTTTCCAACATTATAGAGCTATCTTTATTATCAATAGCTTGCACAGTGATACTGGCAGCAGCACTATTATTCAACAGGGAACAACATATTAAAAACGCATTCTCGATAATAAAAGCAATAGAAAGTAAGTCATATATAAACTTGCCTCGCATTAGATTTGATTTTTTTGTTCGAGCTATCTTTGTTATTGTTACTTTCAATTGGGGTACCGTAAGTTCCGTTTTTACGTTTTTTAAGGGTTTGATTTATATCCTCATTATGATCGTTGTTGAAATTGATTATCGACTTATTAAAAAAATAATGTTCTTCACTTTCGCCACTACTATCAGATGAGCTGCTACTACTACTTGAACTGCTACTCGAATTACTATTGCTGATGCTACCACTACTGATGCTGCTAATACTGTTATTGCTACTGCTACTGCTACTACTACTACTGCTGCTACTGCTACTACTACTACTACTACTACTACTGCTGCTGCTGCTGCTGCTGTTGCTACTACTACTACTACTACTACTACTACTACTACTACTACTACTACTACTACTACTACTACTACTACTACTACTACT